ATAGTAAACTCCCTATCAGGCTCCTGTACTGAGTTTCATTAACCTCAGTTCCACCATCATCCTTACACAGCTTAGTTCCAGCAGCCACAGGTGTAGCCACTGCCTTACAACTCTCCATTCTAAACCTTTTTAGCAGATCAGATGCATATTTCTTTTGATATATCATGATAAAATCAGAATTCTGTTCAACTTCTATACCAAGAAAATAGGACATCTTCCCCAAATCACTCATCTCAAACTCAGTCTGCATCTTTGTTTTGAATTCATTTACAGCTTTACCACTAGGACCAGTAATGAGCATATCATCCACATAAAGGGATATAATAAGCTGGATACCTTTGTCCGTTTTTTTGACATACAAAGTATGTTCACTGTTGCTTCTGTGAAACCCCAACTTTTGTAGATAAGTATCCATTCTATCATACCATGCCCTTGGGGCCTGTTTGAGTCCATACAAAGCTTTGACCAATTTACAGACTTTGTTCTCCATGCCAGGTTCAGCATAGCCTTCAGGTTGCTCAACAAATATATCTTCTCTAATAGTGCCATTCAGAAAAGCTGACTTGATGTCCAGATGCCAGATTAACCACCCTTGATTTGCAGCAAGTGCAACCAACAGTCTGATTGTGTCTAATCTGGCTACTGGAGCAAAAGTTTCAAAAAAATCTACTCCATAAACCTGAGAAAAACCTTTGACCACTAACCTTGCTTTGTATTTGTTGATGGTCCCATCAGAGTTGAGCTTAGTTCTGTAGACCCACTTGACACCAATTACTTTTTGATTTTCTGGTCTGTCAACCAAAATCCAAGTGCTATTCTTTTTTATCATCAACATTTCAACTTCCATTGCCTGCTTCCAGTTTTTATCCCTAGCAGCATCTTGGTAATTATTTGGTTCAGCAATGGCTAAATGGCATCTACTGTACACATCCAGAAGTGACCTTGTTCCTCGAACTGGAACCTCATCAATGTTCTCATCATCTACATTTTCCATCTCACAATCATCCGCAGCCTCAGTAACAGTATCAATTACTTTACTGCCCTCAACCTTCAATGTTTCCCAATTCCACTTTGCTGTTTCATCAAATCTAACATCTCTGCTAACAAAAACTTTCTTAGTCTTAACATCAAGAACTCTATACCCTTTTGAAACTTCACTATAGCCAAGATGAACTGTTACAATTGACTTTCCATCTAGCTTGCTTCTTTTTTCATCTGGAACCTTTGAGTAACAGATGCAGCCAAACACTCTGAGATGGTTAACAGAAGGTTTGACATTGAACCAGGCTTCATATGGAGTCTTGCTTGGGAGAGATCTGTGTTTGAGCAATATTAAGAAGGTAGTTAGCAGTATTAGCTGCTTCTGCCCACAGGTATTTTGGTAGGCTCATTTCAAACAACAAACATCGAGCCATTTCCATAATGGTTCTGTTTTTCCTCTCAGCAGTCCCATTCTGATGAGGACTATATGTTACAGTGAGCTGATGTATTATACCATGTAACTAGAAAACTGCTCAAACCTGTTTGCAGTAAATTCAGAGCCATTGTCACTTCTGACCTTCTTAATGACTGACCTGTTCTGATTTTCCACTAAAGCTTTAAACTTAGCGAAAACATTTGAAGCTTCTGATTTCCTTTTGAGAAAATAAATCCAGCTGAACTTAGTCACATCGTCAATGAATAGCAAATAAAATCTGCTCCCATTTAAAGACTCAGTCTTCATTGGACCTCTTATATCAATATGCACCAACTCCAATTTTTTAGTTGCTTTCCAAGTTCTAGTTTTAGGAAATGCAGCTCTCCTTTGTTTCCCAAATTGACAAATGCTGCAGACTCTATCAGGTTCACCAATTTTAGGAAATCTTCAACAAGATTATGTGCTGCCATTTGCGTCAAAAAGCATGATTAATATGTCCATATCTCCTGTGCCACAAGTCAGTATCAACTGAAATTGCCTTATAAACATTTTGATTAAGCTTCATCCAATTCAAAGGAAAACATCTATTCCTCATACCTACTGTGAACAATTCATTACCAGCAGGATCACTAACAGTGCAGGCCCTATCTTTGAAAACAAGCATATATTTGTCATCAATCAATTGTCCTACACTCGACAGATTTTGACTTACATCAGGAGCAAAATAAACATGATAAATTAGTCTTTTACCTGTAGGTGTCTGAACACCAATAGTTCCCACCCCAAGTATCAGAAGAGAATCTCCATTTCCAATCTCCATTTTTGTTCTAAAGCTAGAATCTAGATTAATGAAGTTATCTTTGCAACTTGTTAAATGGTTTGAACAACCACTATCCAACAACCAAGTATCCTTTTCATCTTCACTATCCATGATTTTAGCCATAAAAAGAACCTCATCTTCAGCTTGAAGTCTTTCAACCACAGCAGCTTTCTCATCAGCATTTTTAACTTTGTTTTTACAGACCTTCTCTACATTGTCTTGCTGGTGACACCTCTTGCATTTAACATTTGGCCTGAACCAACAAAACTTTTCTTATGTATTGTCGTTTTTTGCAATAAGAACATGGTGGAAATATTTCTTATGATCCTCATGTCTTTTTTTATCAACTCTCTTCCCTTTTTCTTTTCTGTTAGCTTCATTTCTCGTAGAGAAACTACTACCAGCCTTTCCATTCTTTGTTTTGACAACTAAGGCACTCTCAGTAAGTCCTTTTTGCCTAAAAGCTCTTCTCTGCTCTAAACCCTCTAGTGCATTAACTAATTCCTTCAAAGTCATCTGACTAATATCCCTTGAGTCCTCTAAGGAGGAAATTTTTGATTCATATTTCTCAGGTAGTGCAACTAGCATTTTACTCACTAGCCTTTCTTCATCCATTTCCTTTCCTAGCAACCTAAGCTGGTTCACTATTCCCATCATTTTCCCAGAAAACTCTCTGATAGTTTCATTATCTTCCATGGTTAGCATCTCAAACTGCCTAGACAGATTCAAAGCTTGAATTCTTCTAGTTCTATCACTACCATGGAATTCCTCCTTTAAATGATCCCACACTTCTTTAGGGTTATCTAAGTGCATTATTCTAACAAATATCTCATCAGAAATTGCAGATTGTAAACAGGAAAGAGCCTTATACCTCTTTGCCTTGTCTTTTTCAAACTGTCTTAACTGAGCCAAGGTAGAGATTAGCATGTCTTTGCTCTGGTTCAATCCCGGTCTCCACCACTTCTCATAGATTGAAAGCTTTGAGATAGGATTGCATCTTCACTGATCAGAACACATAATTTTCTCTAGTGAACACCGGAGGAGCAGAAGTACTAAACCCACTTGTGGCCATGATCCAAAAAACAGAGAGTGAAATCTGGAAAATCTGGAATGGTTGAAACAGTCCCTTAAGATCGATTTTAAAGCTCTGATACCATGACAGAAAACCAAGAGAAACCACAAAAAAATAAAGTAGAGCAGAGTAGAGAAAAAAAATGAGAAGTAACCAAAGAAAAATTAGGAAAAGAGAATGATCTGGAGAGGAACACAACCACACTACTTTTTCATTCTGTATATATGATGACAACCACCTAGTGCCGTGAATATCGGCCTTAAGAAATGAGAACTTAAGAGAGAGAAAAAGTTTGTTGAGCTGAGCTGTACTGGGCAGAAAATTCCAGAACTGCCTAACAACAGTTTCTTTGCTCTAATGGGTAAAAACGAGAAGAAAAAAAAACAACCAACTTAATAAAATGACACAAAACGTTTAAGCTATAACAGAGAAAAACATTAAAACGACACCGTATGCTTATTTCTTCATCTTTACTGCTTGTTGACCAGCGCCATGACTTCATCATCATCTGGAATCACTGAATTCTCAACAAGATTGAGCAGGAGAAAAAAATGGATCTTTGAATGAGGACAATGACATGAAAAACAAAAAAGGATTGATGGTGAGAGTGTTGGTTAAGGAATGGAGTATATTTGTAGGAGGTTAAACGAAAATTAAGGGGTAGCTTTCTTGGAAAAGACCCATACCTCTTACATATATGGTAATTAAGTATGCTCCAAGAAGCAGGAAAAAGAAAAGTCATTATAATTTGTAACTACTTGGAATCTTTCAATTTGTTTATTATCCCATTACGGTTATTCATCATGTGAGTAAGGTATCCAATCTGTTTGATTGCAAATATATTTCTATCAACTTATTTTGATTGAGTGCGTGCAAACAAAAGTAGGAAACTCCCATTGACAGAATTACAGAGAAATTAACTATGAACAAGGAGGGAACTGAGACCGAGGCAGAGCTAGCTTAAACCGACACAAAGGGTAGGTTTTTTTCATGATCTTGAGCGATGGATCAATGCAGGCGCAATGATTCAATCTTTATCTCAACATCCCGTCCATCATCAGCAATAAGCATATTTTCTCCACGTCCTTTCGTTCTTGAAGTGAAGAATATATGCTAGCCCATCTTGATGAACGTAAATCCATGAATACAATGCAGAGCAAAGGCCTGGTTTTGATGGTTGGGAAGGTAACGATAGATACATTGACATAAAGCATCATCAATTTGTTTAATTCTTGTCAATGGGAATGAGAATTCTTGACATGAAAAGAGCATGTTGAACATGGTGTGCAGGCCTGATCATTGGATAACACAACATTTGCTTGCAGCCATCCATTCTCAATCACCTTATATTTCATGATGAACTTAATATAATTTACATTCATGAAGATGAAATTTTGCAGTTCTACATAATCACATTACTTATCAAATTGAAAGAACCAATGCTTTTCAAGAAATCAGAATATATACCTGACAGTCAAATGTTAGTCATAAGACAAAGACATATAAACATTTACAAGCAAGAGAGAAGAAACATCCCATGTGAACATGATGATCTCAGATTGGCATGCAAGAGAACATAATTATTGAAGAGCTTTTTGTTTTATGCTTGTCATCCTAATTGTGTAAGACAAACTCTTTAGGTTAGGGTTGCAGTTTTTACTCCCTCTGTTTTTTTTTATATATATATATAATTAAAAGAGGAGGGATTTGAACATTGCTATTTAATTAGGGGATAATACACCAACCAATGGGACAAATACTGGGATGCTTTACTCGCTCTGTTTGTTCACATGTAAGGGTCCTTCCCTTGGGATAATGTACATTTACTCTTATTATGAAGTTAGACATAATAAACCATACCAACTTCTAGCAAAGAAGTATGAGGCACATTCAGTACCACATCAGGTTCTCTGCAATTCTTGCTCAGAAAGGAATATATGACATTTATGGCGAATTTCTTGAGAATGGAAGATGATTTCTTTGCCTTTGCATAAGAATGGCCTAAAATAAAAGTAACCCCAGATTCTTTGGCTCTTAATATTTGCAGAGACTCTTCCTTCAGGGGAGAACTTCCCGAATGCTCCATACCAGTTTTTGTCTCTAAAATATCACAACAAGACTGCTCCATAATATTGCTATCCTTGAACTTTGAATCTGTTAATGTGTGATCTTGAGCTTCAAAAGTTTTAATATCCAAGTTTCGCAACTCTCCACATGGTGTAGAAGTTGGTTTTAAGGTACTATCTTCTTCTGCTTCCACAAATTGTACTATCCCTGATACCAATCTGTTTTCGAAATCATAGTTTTCTTGCTGCAGATCTTTGTAACCATACCTGATGATGCACCGGAACATGCAACACTCCTTTGGACCTACCCTACTAATGACCAACCGTTCTTTTTCACTAATGTATGGAACTTGGATAGATTTGACGCAAACAAAGACCAGCACTTGATGGAATGCAGGTAAGTTTGTGACAAAGTGTCCAAAAACAGCTGGAACCCCTGTTACCAGATTAGTGTAAATAAGACCAATCCCAGCGACCCTTACCATGCCAAGGCTAGGACCTAAAGCCACTATCCTATCCATTGAAACCTTGTTCTCCACATCAAAATCGTGCTTCTTAGTCATTCCATAGTTCCATATATACATTATAGCCATAAAGATGAAAGCAAGCACTAGTGGAATCCAACCCCCTTCAGGAACCTTGTAAACAGATGCTGAGATGTAAAGCAATTCCATTGATCCAAAAATTACTAAGAATGCAACGGCAATAGCTATCCTTTGCTTCCAGACGATTATCATCACTAATGCCATCAAGCAGGTTGTGACAAACATTACCGTAGTCACTGCCAGACCTACAAACCCATCAAAACAATAGAAGTTCATTTGCACACCCTAAGATCAGTGAACAATACTTATGTATTTAATCAATGGCTGAAATCTATACCATATGCATGACCCATCATGTTGGTGTCTCTCAATCCTATTGTCACGGCTAAACAGAGGCACATTAATATCCAGTTGACCTCTGGAATGTATATCTGCCCATATATTTTGCTTGAAGTATGAATGATTTTCACGTAGGGAAAGCAATTCAGTGCACAGCACTGGCTTATAACGGAGAAGGTAGCTGATATTACGGCTTGACTTCCAACAACAGCAGCAAAAGTGGCCACAATGAACACTGGCCAAAAAACAGCTTCTGCATGGAAAAGAGAAAATGTCATTATGGGAAGCAAAGCATGTTGTTTTCAATTTCATACTTGGTTTAGCTCTTGCCTGGTATGGCTTTATAGAAGCTCCTCTGGATATCTTCGTGGTGCTTAGAGAGGAAAGCAGCCTCACCCATATATGCAAGAACCAAACAGGGATACACCAGAAATGTGAAGGCTACCTGGGATGTGAATGGCAGGTGCTAGAGATCATTAGATTAAGTTTGAAAGAAGCCAGAACAAGGCAAGCTGAGTAATTAAGAGTTGGAGCCTGATGTATCAACTGGAATTTAAAGTTTACCCTTATTGACAGCGAAGAGAAATGGCCCAAATCAGCAAACATTGTCTCCACACCTGAGACAATATGGAAAATATGTTTGTTTCAACTTTCAAGGATTCTGTTCTGAAGCAAGTATACCATACTAATTGCCTGGAGGTACCTGTGATTGAAAGAACCACTCCTCCTAATGAGATCCATCCTTCCGTGCCTGTGCTCTTAAGGAACTTCAACATGTAAACTGGAGAAAGTGCATGAAATATGTGTGGATTCCATCTAAATATGTTATATATTCCAATGCTGCTTATACACAGAAGCCATGCTGCGACAATTGGAGCAAACATGAAAGCAACTCTGTGTGTTCCATGATGCTGAAGCGAGAATAGCCCCACAATGATGACACATGAGAGCAAAACAACGTAATCTGGAAGAAAAGAAAACATGAACATTAACAGATTGTGATTGTTTTACAAATTACATATTTAAGCACAGTAACTAAGAGCTGGACATACTCTCATGGAGTGCTGTGATCTTAAGTTTGACTCCTGAAACTGCTGAAAGAACTGAAAGGAGGAATTTAAACAAACCTCTGTAAGAATATCCATAAACTGCTCTGGTTTAGAAATCAAACTATTAGGAACTACTATCAACTACAACCGACACAGAGATAAAAAACTGAGAGAGAACCAGATAAAAGATAGTAACCGAGCCAGCATTTACCCACAATACTTCCTATTCTTACAGGCAAGAAACTGAGGTACACTAAATTGACAGAGTAAGCATACGCCATTAAGCACGCAGTAATCATGGTTCTTTTCTCCTAATCTTTAACTTCCCAGGTCAAAGATAGAGCTTCATGATATCTACACTGATGTAGTTCAATTTATTCGAATTTAAGCCAGAAAAATAAGAAGTAATGTTACCTGTTATGATGTGCATTATTGTCCCTGTTTAATTCTTATTCAAAATGAAGTAAATTCAGGAGATACAGAGGCTAGGTACACCCAGCTACCTGATATTGTAGGTGTGAGTACTCCATCACCAATCGTCATACAGGTTCCCAGAATAACAAAAATGAACAACCCTTTACGAAATCTAGGATGTTTCTCAAAGAATGACTTCAGAGCAGAGCTCTGCCATGTCTCCATGGATCCATGTGTTGCATATGCCGACAACGTTTCATCTGTAGCTTGTTGATTTGGTAGAATGCTTAGGCTCCCGTGCCGGCACAGAAGAGAATACAATGCAAAGGTACCACCTGAATAACAATTCAAGATCTGAATTGGTCTACAAAATCATTTGGGAAGCTTGGAGGGACAAGACTCAATCATGTCTTTTTATCACAAATTATGAGGAATCTAGGAGCTTACCTTCACCATTATCGTCGGCTGACATCACAATCAAGATATATTTAAAGAGAGCAATGAAAGTAAATGTCCAGAAGATAAAGGAAAGCACGCCATAAATCTCCTCATCATTCTCATGGAGGCTCAACTTCCCTGAGAAGGTGGTCTTGTAAACATAGAGAGGAGAGGTACTGAGGTCACCGTAGACAACTCCAAGGCTTTGATAAGCTAAAGTAACCACGGTCATGCAAGAAGCCTTCCTCAAGTTCTGACCCAGAAAACCAAAATCTATCAATGTTTCAACCCCCCCTCACCGATAAAACCAGTAGAAAGATAAACGAGACAAGCAGTATTATCAAAAATTAGCTTCCTGCATTGAATCTGGGAGTCCATAAAATTCATAACTTCATTCTGCCTCAGGCTGACAGCGCTTCCTTGGACACCTTTCAAGGTGTAGTTCTAGTATACAATAAAGCTTAATATGACATCCTCTATTTTCCCAAGTAATGCAATGGAATAACTCACAGGTTCAATTCTCTAAATTTTTCCAGGACTAGTACAACACAGAGACACAGAAAACCGAAAACCCAACTCAAACTTAGGGAGAAATGTGCAAATATGAGCAAGTAAGCAGCTTCTGTCCTTCCATTAGATTCCCATTTCCTAATTTTCAAACCCCCACACCTCATCTTATAGAGAAGCATTTTCACTAATCATTCATCCAAGAGAGCAAGCTCCCGGAAATGACTATCACTCACAAGCTCAAGGGAACCAAGTCTATAAAACACCAGAGAGACAGACAAGAAACACAAAAGATAATAACTGCATCACATTTCCTGACCCTTTCTGGATAAGAAAGACTTAAGTAGAACACTAACATGTGAAGATAGCAGTGGCTAGAATTCATGGTGCAAGGATAAAAATTTGTACCTGTTGAGATATTCCCTGTTCTAGAAACTCTTCTGATGGATTATTCATGGCTTTGAAAGAGACAGAAGGGAAGAGGAAGGTAGAAGGAAGGAGGTCAAATTTTGATTGGAAGAGCAGCAAAACCTTTGAGAGGGAATATAAAGAGGAAGAGAATTAGAGAGAATGTAGGAAGTAAACAGTAAGTAGTGAAGAGGCAAGTGATGTGTGTCCAAAGAAGTTGCAAAATGCATTCAATGCTCTTTATTCCTCTTACTATTTTGCAGTAGTTCTACTTATATCAGTCCGAGCTTAAAAATTGTACTGATAAAGTAATAATCATAAGAAAACTTACCCCTGAATCTCAGGATATATTATCCTACTCCTATATCTTTTACTCTGAATCATTGGCATTTTCCTGCAATTCTTTTTTCCTACTATCCCTTATGCAGGAATGAACCCCAAACATGGAAAACTATTAAAATAAAATATTATATGATCTTTTAGTGAAAGTTTCTTAGTCATTGATAACTGGCTTCATTTATTTCAAAGCTGTCTCCAACCTACCGTAAGTAAAGGGACTAGAGAGAGGAAAATTTAAAGCAGCAAAATTGGTTTTCAAATTTGTGACTGACCGATAAATGGGACATAATTAAAACTTAAATGTCTTGTTCAGTCACCATCTCTTAGTTCATGATGGAAGAAGATATTTTCTGCATTCAATCAAGCTGGCTCAAATGGTAAAACGATTATCTGCTTAAACTTTATCTAGTTTGTTCCTAGTTCTAGATCCTAGAAGTGATGCATACAAGGGCATAAACTACTCATAATGGAAAAAGAACCTGATATTACATCTGATTTTTCCATGATCAATTTTTACTACTTCCCAGCAATCACATTTCATTGAAATGTCACATTAGAGATGCATAAATCTTACAATTGGTTGCCATCCTACCCTTCTTAAGGTAACTAACTAGTCAAACCAAGTTATCTGACATAGGCTTCCAGTTAAACCAAAATGATGGACATGAAAACATTGCATACTGGGATTTGGTTTTAGAGCAGGTTAGACATGTTAAAGCAAAGGCAAGCAAATGGTGAATGGTTGAGCTATTCTCACTTCAAAGTACATTAGAAAAGTTCCAGACTTGGAAACCACTCAAGCAAATTGGCAAATTTGAAGAGTTGGCCAAAGCCATGGAAAATTGATGGACCAAGATATGGGTTAGTCTATCAGAACCAGATGTTGATTCTTGTCATCCATAACCATAAACTTTCTTTTCTGTCTTCTCAATTTTTTGGGCCAAAAGGAAAATTTTACATGCAAAAATGGTAATTGGGTGTCTTAATCCAAAGATTTTTAACATGTCAGGTAACCATCAAATCTAATCTTTATCTTTCTCCCCCTATGGTTATATGATCATTGTCAGATGATTTAGAAAGGCAATTTTTTTTTTTCCTTTCTCAATATATTCAGATCAAGTGAGTAGTCAAATTACATATTCCATCCATTATATCAAGCATTTTGCTGTCCTTTTTCTATTGTCAGAATTGCCTTTGTTTTTTTCCTTTCTTTGGGGGTCCCCTTCCTTCCCATTCCAGCGAATCTTTTAAGACACAAAACACAATCTCTCCCCTTCAGAACCTGGGAATTTTGTTTTTTTTTTTTTTCCTGTTTATCTTTTACTTCTTCGATATAGTACTATGCGTTTAGATGTCACAAAGCTTTTCTCAAACTGACTTCACAGATATTTATTTGAGCCTTCTCACATTTTCAGAAAGATGCCAAAACCACCAGTCTTTTTACAGTTCTTTAATCTTTTACTTTTATCCACTAATAAGATGGACTCAAGCTTGGTGAAAGCAAAATTGAATAGAAACATAGCGGTAGGAGAATGGAAAATGAAGAGAATTTAGATGAAAAATTAAAACTTGTTTCGGTAATTCAATCATCTTAAATCGAAATCACATCACATGTCACATGATCAAAACATATAAATTAATATTAAATCAAACAATTATATTTTTTAATTATCAATTAAAAATTTATGACATTCACAATTTGGTGGTTCAATTATGACAGCAACTTTCAAAACAAGTTGCAAATGATAGACATAGCCTGCCCAATTGTATGAGATGCCATGGTGGTGGTGGTATGATGTTAACTTATCCCAACACTTTTTCTCTCCTCCCTCTGCCCACGTGGCCAAAGGTCATAGCTTTCTCGGACGAGGGGTTCCATTAGGGACCAAATAATTGACTGTGATTCTCATATTGCATTATTTTTATACATCCAACACAACAACCAAATCCCCATTTTGGTCTTCTCCCAAAATTATAAAAAATAAAATAAAATAAAAATCATTGGCTTCATAAACCCATGCAATCAAAATCTTTTCATGATTAAGGACTTAAGATATCTTGTTTATCAAGCCTTCAAACAACCAAATCTTGGCTCTATCCAAGATTATCCCAATTCCAACCCGTACATTGATTGTGAAAGTTTAGTACATTGCACGAGGGGAGGCGGATGAGCTGGTTGTTCCATCCAAATCATCTCATTTATAGCTCTCCAATTTCCTGTCCCCCTCCTCCCCTTTGATCCCATGTAAAGTAATGGGTGGTAGGTCACTTGGGTTTCGGAGGGGAGGATAGGGGGGTCCCGAATTCTCGATAGCTCGGAAGAAGTTGACGGTGAGGCCTTGAAGAGATCTCACCTTTGAGTTGCTTTCATGGGCCGAATTTTTAAACCTTTTTGATGTTGCCACGTGCGCACATGATAAACTGATACGGATATGCCTTTGCTCAGACAGAGAAGACATTCGCATCTGGTTATATGAATCAATAAATTCATAAAAATGGGAGAATTGCTTTAAATAATTCATTTTCCAGGGGTTTTTTTTTTGCCCTTTATGCAATCATTTCTGAAAATCATTAAAATAGAAGTTTTCTTGCTAATTCTGAGAAGCCAAATATGTTTTTTGTCACCCAAACTTTCTACTCTTTAACATGAAGATACAAAATTCAAATACTTAAATCCCACAAGAAAATAAAAACAAAAAAGAACTTGTCTATACCAAGTACTCTTTCAGTGCATGGACTGGGGGCAGTACGACAACTTAGACATATAGTAATACTGGGAGAAAACCCGGTTGAATGAACCCTCCTTGACACTGCTCAAACCGCGAAACACAACTCTCAACATGCAAACATGACCCAGGGTTTGACCAAACCTCGACAAACACTCAAACCTAAGGACGCAAAGGACCTCGACCATCCATTCCAGCCCATAAATTGACCCATTTAGTTTCATCCGCAGGACTTCGCCAAGATACGGGTGGGGGAGCGACGTCAGGTAACTAACCTCACCATATTGGCCAATACCATATGGCATTGAAGGCTAACCCAATTCGCTTTTAAGTTGAGGAATCTGACTCCCCATCTTTCTTCTCGGCACCTGCTTTTTCTTCATCCTTCTTTGCTTCATTTTCCTCCTTCACTGCAGCAGGCTTCTCCTCTTCAGCTTTGTCCTCTGCTTTCTTTTCCTCAACGCTCAACTTCTCAAGTAGTCCGGCAGCAGCGGATGCATCTTTATTTTCCTCTTTCGGCTTTTGTGATTCGGCAACTTCTTGGAACATTTCCATAAAGGTTTTGCAATCTAATTTTAAGACGAGAAAAATCAGTAAAAAACAGAAGGTTTTGTTCCCTCCAAAGGAAAAAAAGAGCTGTCAAACAAAGGGAAAAAAGGCGAATTACAAAAGCCCAATGCAGCCATCTATAACCACAAGCTAAAGCCATCTACAATAACTGTTTCTGGTATTCTCCTAACACTCTTTTGTTGTTTTTTTTTGAGGTGGGAGGGGGGTTGGGAAGGATAAAAGACTAAAGAAACAATAAAGCCAAAGCCAACCACAACCGCTTTGATGAAACATTTGTCATGGCATATCAAGACCTCAGGCATAGTTATTACATTAAAGAGCCTAAATCATATATGTAACTGTTTCCATGCCCAAAAGACTTATAAATTCAGCTCAAGATACAATTATACACTATTACAACAAGTATTCAGAAACCAAAAATAAAACATATAATAATTCAAAGCATGTATTGCTAGGGCACAAGCAATAGCACTTATTTTAAATTTCTTCAATTGGAAATCCTAGTTTATTGTTCTTTATTTGAAAGACATTTTGTCATCGATATGAGATTAAATTTATCCTTCTGCCAAGTTGTTAGTTTTCCAAGCAAATAAACATCAAACCCAATAAGAAAACTAAGGTTAACATGAGAAGATTCTTCAAATTGCCATCATAGAAATGCCTAACTCTATCAATCAAAAAATTCCATAAAGTACTACTCAAACTCAACTTGGGCTACCTGAGTAAGAAGAAAATGAAGTTCTCTGCAACTATGAAGAAAACAGAAATATAGTATTACTCAACATTCAGCTGTAGCAGTTATTACATTTTCTGTCACTTGCAGTTTTTTCACTAACCACTATAGGAGGAAAATGGCCCATAAAGGGAGCAAAAGGTAAATCTCAATAAGCCATTGTAGCCATCTATAACCACAAAGAAAACCATCTATGATAACTATTTTCATATTCCCCTAACACAGCTATACCACATCATTAGAGGGAAAAATCAGCAAGAATCTGCCTGATATGCTTTGATCTATGTTAATAAAAGGTGAATGCAGTTACCCACTTCATGTCAGAAATTTGCAATGCAATCATTTCCTACACCAAATACTTGTTCAAAACTAATACCAGCTCAAGCAGAATGAACGCAATTTAAAATTTCAATTGCTCAGAATTTAAATATACACCTTTGAATTATGTGCAACCAAGCATTCATATAGTCAATCATAAAACAAAATATAGGTAACATTATAACTAGTAACCAAAATGCTAGTTAGTAACTACTTGGAAAGAACATCAGTGCTCGACAAACTGACATACTGATTTGGTCTTAATAAAGAAAGGATATAACATCGTTTCAATTGAATTAGCTAATAAAAGGAAGCAAAGTAATTTAAAGTAAAATATACTAACTTTCCACTGATGCGAATCGAATGCAGAAAAGTTCATCTTTCAATTCACCATCTGCAAAGTCAGAAGCGTGCCATAGGCATGATTTGTCGTTCCCTGCGTGCTCCTGCACAGTCATCGACGGCAACACTACACAAAATTTTTTCTTTTATAACACTATGAAATAAGAAAAAAATGTAAAGTAGACATCCAATTAAGGAAGTAGAAAAAAAATAAAATCAAGGAGTACGAACCGAGATGATTGGCGCAGATCTTGAGAGTCTTAGATTGCCTCATAACAAGGCGAACTTTTCCAGTTTCTTTGTGCTTCAACAGCTTCACAGTTCCAGCACCTCTCTCTTTCCATTGATTCCCGTCTTTATCAAATCGGTACAGCTTGGACTTCCTACAATAAATCAAACAATATATATATATATATATAAATTCAGATCATTTTGAATTTCTACATAAATCGGCGAACAGTTGAAATCAGAAATGTAAAATAAGAGAAGAATACGCACAGATCGAGGATCGGTTCTTCATTTTCCTCGCCGGTGCTGACGGCGACTTCCTCGAGTTTGACGATAGGCGCGACTTGAGCTCCGGTGTCTTCGTCTTCGGCAGCCGGGGTATCCTCGCCTTCTCTGTGCTGGTGATCGGGCTCTTTGCTTGCCATATTTGCTTTTCCTTTTAGAGAGTGAGGCGTTTGGTTATTTCTTTTTATAAAGGATGTTTTTGGGGGGTTTAGGGTTTTTATATATGTGGATTTTGTGGGTGAGGGGGTGTGTGTGTGTGTGTGTTTGTTTTTAGGCTGTTGGGGGAAGGTGAAAAGAGGCGTGAGGTTTACGCAGGGTTTTCGACAATAATAAGAGGAAGGAGGGTGTTTGGATTGTGGGGCGGCTTTACTCTTCTCCTGAGTAGCGGTCTGCTGGCCAAGGCACTGTTATAGAACTTTCCGTCCGTGGAAGGAAGGGAATGACGTTGCAACATTTGCTTTCCCTTGTCCTGTTAAGACACAAATCAAACCTTATAATATAATTTTACATAATTTATTTATAAAAAATATTCTTTATTTATACGAAATAAATAAAATTTAGCTAAATTTGAACAGGTATACCATGGTATGCCTGCTTATTGCAGTGCTAATGCTAGCTAATCATGTGCTATTTACAGCAGAAATCCTTGCGAATTTTAAATAGCTAGTATAGACTCAAGGTTCTTCGCTAAGCCAATTTAATTATAAAAAAAACTTAAATTTCGACAACATAGTATAGCATACTAGCAAAGGGGATCTAGACAAATTTGAGATGGTGGAAGTGACCATGGCAGATTAAAGTGGTTGGAATGGAATGCCCCTTAATTTAATTAACCTGGCTATAAGCCAATTTCACTTGACTTTCTTGTGCCTTAGTATCATTTAACTAAACAATTCTATCTGAGCTTATCAAATTTATTGGATAGCTTTCCATCCAACTTTCTTCTTCCACTAGGTCCAATAGCAGGTCGCATGTGTTCTATGCATGATTACTCTGGGTCTCAAACTCCGGAGCCTTTGTGGAATGGTCAGCGTTGCGACACAACGGTAAAGAGGTCCTGTGTTGTTGGTGACAACAAAATCATTATTCATGCTAAACCTTTTCGTACTATGTTGTTTATCTAGATGTCAACCACAATACATGGAACAAAGTTGAGCTGCCCGACGGCAATCTGCCCTCTATTGTTCTGTTCAACTATTGCCTCAATGTGGTGGACGCTTGTTTCTTTTTCGACAAAACCTGGAATTTTATTTCCTTCCAACTGGGGCGACAGAGCCTTCAGTCTCTTTCTTCCATCCTACAGCTTTTGGTGGGCAAAATCTAGTAGAGTTTCAAGGCTTTGTGAGCCAAGAAGATGGTTTTCCTAATGCTTTGTGAGTCAATAAGTTAAATGCATACTTTTGGGTGTTCTTATATTGGCTTGCTTGCTTTCTTTTGAACCTGCCGATTTGCAAGGTAAAGAGTTATTCTTCTGTGCTTGTGTCTTCCTAGGATTTCTTGTGTCTGGTCTACTACTTGGTTTGGTATAAGAAAGCAAGCAAGCAGTTCCCTAGCACGTTAATCATAATAAAAATTGGCCAACATTTTCTGGATGATATCCTTTGAGTGAAACAAATAAATTTTATTCTTAGGATGGAATTGGATGGGTTATAGTTTGTGGCTTGTTCATTTCTATGTTTTTTTCACCCAACATATGTTTAATCAAACTAGTTTTTGAGTAAGGGATACAATAGATAAACACAGTTACAAGTATTTCCTGTCTTTTTATGTACTAGTATAAAAATTTAGCATCACATTGTATGTATTTCTCTATAATTATGTATTTATTTTATATTTTAATATCGTAATATTATGTCGTCATCAATTACATTCTTTGTAATGTGATTATGTTGTGCAAGTGTCAAAGGGCTCCTTACACAACTATGCAGTGACTAATCATGTTGAGTCATTTTGAATCCATTTTGATTATCACTAGTCCTAAAAGCTTAAGCTATTAGGATATGGTGTAACTTTTATAGATTTAAGATCAAGTAATGGTTACCACATGCAACCAACAAGGCTAGAGTGGAGACTAAAAGGTCATGCTGACACATAACTTATACTTAAGGGTGACAAGATAAAAGCTCAAATATTGTTCACGACGAAAAGATTTGCAGCCAAGAAAAGTTGTTCTGATCAAATGGACGGCCATCATTTATCCATAATAGCCTTGACACTTGAGATAAAAAATAAATAGTAAAGACACCTTAGTCATCTCTTTGCTGCACTCTTGCATTGTAACAGCTACTTACAGTCTTACATTTGGGAGACCAGGATAAGTGGCGAAACAATGATAGGAAATTCCGCTCATGGTGGACATTGAAACCGAACGTAAAACTTTTTATTACAAAAATTCCTTCGTTTTCTGAGTAGATTTCGATTTATTTTAGTTTAATAATATCAATTTTTTCATCCTACAGAATTTTACATGCTAATTTTCCATAAACATTGTAAATAAAATCTCCACTATTACTATATTAATATCAAGACGGCGATGGATTTTGTTATTTAAGTACCATATATACAAGACATGAGTGCACAATAAAAATTTAGATGCCGTTGAGAGGACGAAAACAGTATCAATTACTTGATACCATTTGACCTCGAGGTGTGACTTCAACTCAACGGCTTTAATCTCCTCCTTTGAGGACTAGAGATTGAGCGAAGGATCAAACTGGTGATCTCTACATACAATCAGAAGCTAACTTGACTAGTTGAGATCCAGAATTTTCCTTGTTATCATTTGGCATACATATTCACAGAGGCAGAGAGATTGTTGCCAACTCTACATCACCTCTCAATCAGAATTTCATTTCTCCAACTTTAAATTAGAGGTTGAGCAAGTGAAAAAGAAAGTACAAAATTCAGAAGGCATATCAACCAAACAAAGCAGAGTCTCAATGAATTCAAAATAAGAATTGAGGAGTCCAGCCAAGGATAAAGATTAATAAAACTTATCTGCAACAAGTGAGAGAGAGAGAGAGAGAGTGTGGAATTTGAACTATGAAGAATACTCTGTTATACACTGGGGGAAGAAAGACTAGCCAGTACAAAATTTTGGATTCCTAAAACGAAGCAACTACATATCCGAGAAATTACGAGAACAGAAAAATGTATATGATTGTGCTAGAATAACCTATACATATGGCAGACTTGGCAAGGTTTGCACCGAATTCAATCAGTCATCACTAAGCTGCATTAACTTTTGTCAAAACCCTAGTTGCTAAGGTCCTTGACTACAGTGTAAAGCTGCATCTGTTGGGCAGAAATAACCACAACCCGATAGCAGATGCATTACCAAAGAAAGCAAGGCTACTACCTCAATATTTCACAACCATGAAAAAGATCAAATTCACCTTCAAACGTAAACATGATATCATGGAAAATTAGACATTCGATTCAACCTTGTAGAAGTTGACATATTTCTTGCTTACCTATCCTTGTTTAATCAGAGATCAATAGGAACCCATTGGTGGCATGCCATAGGGTGCCATTGGAGGCATCCCCATCCCACTCATTGGAGGTGGTGGTGGTGGAGCAAAACTTCCACCCATCCCTCCAACACCCATTCCAGGCATCGGAGGTGCAGGTAAAGCAAGAGGCAGCAACTGAGCATACATATTCTGCAGGTGGAAAAAACAAGGAACTTAGTTCTTCAGAAAGAATTAGCATCCACTAGAGGCACCTCAAGGGTCTAGTAAAAATTACAATAGAAGAGAGAAATCATATAGTATTGGCAGTTTAATCGCCTGCCTTCTAGAAAATAAGTGCATCTGAAGCATATTAGAATACAGTACAGACAGCTCATTCTGTCTCTAACAGCATTTGATCAATCAAAATAATCTGATTCAAGAACTTCTTTAGATGAAGAAAAATAACAAGAGTTTCTTGCCCATTTGCAGTGATAACGGATGAAAACCTAATTTTTCCTTTTCTGAAAGCATTGCCTCATATTCACCTTTCAAGAACCCAACAGTTAGGTGGTTTTCTTCCCAAGGTCCTATATTCAAGGTTTTAATGAAATTCTAAAAGACAGATAGCTTCTGTGTGAGCAAGCAAATGATAACGATAATCGTTAATTACTTATTGATCGCCAATAGAAGTGAGCAGAGAGACCTATAAGCACCCAAGAGTTGCTCAGTTCTTTGAAAATCTCCTACTTCATAACATGAAAAACTAAAACTGTTCCACAAGGACAGAACCTGCCACTCCAACCCCCTCTTTCTCCCACCAAGTAATATGGTAGGCAAAACAGCAAAGAGATTTTGCATATATATGTACCTGCTGAGCAACCACGTCTTTCTCCTCCTTCTCCTTGGCCTTCACCTCATTCATAGCTTCGATTTTACCCTTCATGAGTTCATCCACTTTGCCTGTGTACTCCCGTATAAACTTTATAGGGGAGAAAAAGCCAAGAAAAGAACCAAACAAAAAGTTTGAGGATATGCACTTCAAAATTTTAACTAACAATTGAGAACAAATAGCAAGGGGGAAAACTACCTGCAAGAGATATGGGAAGGCAAAATCAATCATATTATTTATCCAGGCAAGCTCGACAGCAACATCTGGCCTGATTACATCATAACAAACGAAGAGGCATGCTGCAAAACACTCTTTCTTTCCCTACAATAGACAATAAGAAAATGTGGATTAGTGAGTGAACCCCAAATTTAGTGATATCCTATATGAGATAAAAGGCACAAGAGTGAGAAAGTAGATTTATCTAGCACCTGCCCACATAAAACAAAACAATAGAAAAATTACCTGCTCAATGAAATAGACGAGCAATTCCTCTGCAAGTTCCCGATCACCAGACTGTGAACATGTTTCCATGGCATCTCTGTAATGATTGTCCTTCTTTGACAAGGCAATAGACTGCTTCCATCTCCCTGCCTTCTTATATATATAAGCGGCAACACGCCTCATTTCAAGTAGTTCATGCTTCTCAATCTACGCATACAAACCATTCTCACTTGTAAAACAACTTAACTCTTCGTAGTTTCAAACAACTAAAGAACAAAAGAGTTAATAACAACACAGAAAACAACTAAATGTCGAACTTCTCACCTTCTGTGCAAGGCCTATCTGATCAAAGTTATCATGGAGATCTATAGATTCACGAAGCCTGTCATAGTCCTCCTCCTCTACATACATCTCATTCAGAGCTTCATTAACAGCAGCCACATTGTTGCTCTGAACTGCAACCATGTATGGCTTAACAAGACGCAAGTGACCAGCCTGAAAATGAATTGCATGCGCAGATAAGTTATAATAGGCAGAACTCTTTCCATATCATTA